TTATCATTACTTGAATATTTTCTTTGGTTGAGTAATCTCACATTTCTCGGTGTTTTTCCAAAAATGAAAAACATATGACAGAAAATGAAAACATTCGAGGATTCATATGTATATATAATCATAAATATTAAAATAATGGCCATTTTTAGAATTTTTCATTGCCTTTGCTTTTCAAAAAAACTAAAAACAGAAACACAACTAAACGGCTAGGAAAACTATTTGTTCTATGTCACATATTGGGGTCATATACTATCCCAGAAAAATATATAGCAAAGAAGAAAATATATACATTTTTCTCAGATCTCATGTTGATTTTATCTTTAAATAGTGTTGGGAATAAATTTAAATTTAAATAGTGTGGGGAATAAATTTAAATAGTGTTTGGATTAAAAAATAAATTTAAATAGTGTTGGGATTAAATTTAAATTTAAATAGTGTTGGGATTAAATTTAAATAGTGTGGGATTAAAAAATAAATTTAAATAGTGTTGGGATTAAATTTAATAGTGTTGGGATTAAAAAATAAATTTAAATAGTGTTGGGATTAAATTTAATAGTGTTGGGATTAAAAAATAAATTTAAATAGTGTTGGGATTAAATTTAATAGTGTTGGGATTAAAAAATAAATTTAAATAGTGTTGGGATTAAATTTAATAGTGTTGGGATTAAAAAATAAATTTAAATAGTGTTGGGATTAAATTTAATAGTGTTGGGATTAAAAAATAAATTTAAATAGTGTTGGGATTAAATTTAATAGTGTTGGGATTAAAAAATAAATTTAAATAGTGTTGGGATTAAATTTAATAGTGTTGGGATTAAAAAATAAATTTAAATAGTGTTGGGATTAAATTTAATAGTGTTGGGATAATTTTATCAAATTAAAAAATAAATTTAATGGTGTTGAGATTACTTGAAGAACTGACCTGATCTGCAGAATACGATGGAGGTGGTTTCGACCACTCGGTTGTGGTTGAGATTGATGAATTTAATTCTTATCTCGGATAGATATTGAATTTAATATATAAAAAACCATATAATCAACTCAATCAACTTATTCATATGCGTACAACTTGAAACATGTGTGTTTATTTTCTAAATTAATAACTTGAATTTAGCTTTAAACAATTGTCGCTAAAGGGCTTTAAATAATTGTCGTAGAGTATAGTCTGTTAAATATATTTTTAGAACTGCATTTTAATGTTAATATTATTTACACCGTGCCTTTAGGCACGGGCATACGCTAGTCATAAATATGGTAATAAATATAATATAGTATTTATGATAGACAGAATATATAGTTACTATATTTAACAATCCCTCAAACCTGAGTGGGGATACCAACTTGAGTTTGAAGAGAGAAACTAAAACATAAAATAAAACTAAAAATATGAATGGATCCGAGACATATAGATTGCAAAGTCTGGATGGAAGCATATGGGCGCTTGAGATAAATCAAAGGTCAGAACTAATGTCGGGAGACAATTTTTGGTGAGATCGTGTCGAATCGTGTAAGAGCAGTGAAGGTGCCCTTGGAAGACAATTTTTGTTGAAGTCTTGCTAGGGTGTCATAGAATAAGTCAGGAGCAAAGAAATCTCAACCAAATGACAATTTTTAGGGTCATGTTAGACTGTTGAAGAAGAACTGGATGTTGAAGTAGCAAACATGGCACACACATAACTTATGACATGGTGCTGAACGATGATGGCAACAGATGAAGAAGTGCGCCAGGGGGCGGCTTGGAAGGGAACTATGTGCGCTAGGGGGTGGCTTGGAAAGGAACCATGTACGTCAAGAGATGGTTGAGAAAGGAATAAAAAATGAGTCAAGGGGGCGGCTTAGGGAGTGCACCAAGAGAGCGACTTAGGTAGTGCACCATGGAGGTGGCTTGGGTGGTTTGCATAGTATATAACCATGTTCACCATATATGTATAATACCGCCCCCCCACCTCCCAAAAAACAAAAAAAAAAAAAAAAAAAAAAAAAAAAACTCAAATAGGTTTAAAGATAGAAACCTATTTGAAATTAAGGCAGAGAGAAAGACAGAGTGGAGTGGAAAATAGATTTTTTTTTCATGTTATATAAAAAATAAATCTGTTTTTACAGAAAAAAAAAGAAAAAAAAAATTCAAATGGGTTGGTGGAAGCAAGCACATGTGATGGTGGGAATAATAAATAAACAAATAAATAAATAAATGTGTACAAAGATGAAAGTGGAGAACAAAACGTAACTGATAAAGTAAGGAGGAAATAAAAAATAAAGAGGAAAAAAAAATTGGTGGTTCTGTTGGTTTTGCCATTGAAGGTAATGAAAACAAATAAAATAAAATATGTAGTATGATATTGAGATGACGATGGATTTGTAGGCAGCGGTGTGAGATGGCGGCAATGGCCAGAGTTGGGAGATACAACGAAACTTTGGCTAGTGATGGAGGAATATAGAAAAATCAGCGGATAAAGGAGAAAATCACTACGAAATGATCTTGAAAGGAAAATATGACAGTGGATTGAGTTGTGGTTCGACAGGCGGCCAACGCAAGGCTACCGCCTGCTGATGAAACGAAATTACCAAGAACTTAACTTAACTCTGATACCATGTTACAATATTTAAGATAGAGAGAGAGAGAGAGAGAATATTATATTATGTATATATTCAATATTGCATGTGTACAAAACTCCTTTATATAGAAAGAGAAAAATCTAAATATGATAATTCTAAGTATGGTAATGAATGTGATATGATATAAATGATAGACCAAAATATATAGTTACTATAATTAACAAAACATAATACAAGTAAATAAATCCAAAAAAAAAAATTTGATTATTATTTTTTAATTATATATTAAATTTTAAGAAGAATTTTGCTAAACACAATCGTGGTAAGATTTATATGATTCTTATTGATTTTTTTATTTTAATTTTCATATATTTTTTCTTAAACACAACTAATCACAAGCATATAACTAAGCGGTGACATAACTTTTTAATTTTTGGATTGTGTTAGATTGTTTAGTATAACTTTTATTTACAATTTATAACATAAAAATTTTAACTAAATTTAAAAAATCTGATTATTAAGAAATGGGACGAGGGGGTGTGTTGCTGTTTTTATTATTATTTTTTATTATTATTATTGTTTAAGATTAGACTTTCTGATTATCATATTTTAATTTGTAAAAAAAAATGCATAAAATTTCTATATAAAATTAAGGCTTCCGACTCTATGTAAATGAGTGAGTGTTGTGTTTGATTCCATGTGGGACGAGTAGCTGGGAGCCTTCAAAACACGGGCCCAACAACTATTCTCTGCATGTTTTCATCCCCCCCCCTAAAAAAAAAAAAATTTGGTTCATTCTCTCGAAATACCTAATGCACTTTTGGATCTCCATTTCTCCTATAGCACCAAAACCTAGCAATGCATGCATGCACACAAAGAATCAATGTGGGAAACTAACCAGAACATTAAATACAGTAACACTGTTACATTCACATAATTTTTTCCTCACAAATCTTCAAATGATGTGGTAAAGTTGGTTCGAACGTTTTGAAAGAAGATAAAAATGTAAGTGTATGGATCATTCATTTATCTTTTTCTTGTTGTGTCATTTAAGAAATTTGTAAAGAAGAAATTGTATGAATGAAAACATTTTTCTAAGTGAAAATCTTAAGTGATTTGTGATTAGATCAAGATTTAAATATTCCAATTCGCAATCATTCAAAATACACAATCTAAATCATCAAACACTTATGAAAGTGATTTAGATTGTTGTTTTCGAAATAAACAATGAATCGTCACAAACGATTTTTACGTGAAAAAAATCACATTGAAGCACCTTCAATTGTAATAAAAAACCACGAGCAAAACGTCACTAATCAATCCACTACTGAAAAAAGAAAGATTACAAAGATAACAAACGAATTACCAAAATCATACAATTTGTCTTCGAACCTTCTGTAACTTTTTCAACAAGCCTTCGTCTCGGAACTGATTATTCTGAAGTTGAATCCACAACTTCACTTGTCGAATTAACGACTACGTACAGAATCAAACTCCTTTGAAACTCCACGTTTGAATCTTCGGAATCCACCAAATAAGAACACTCTTGTGTATAATTAATCGACCTCCTTGATATGTGCTTATCAATTCATGAGTTTAATACTCACTCAAATTATCAAGGAAAACTCACAAAAAATACTCCCGAAGAAAACCTTAGAAAATCTCAAAGTAGATCTAAAAGACCTAATCCTAGTTTAGGAGTAAAACAACCACTTATAGAAATCCTAGACTGTGAAGCTCGCTCGGGCGAAGCTTCTCTCGCTCGAGCGAGGAACTTATCTCGCATGATTTCCATAAGTGGCTTCGCTCGAGCCACGCAACCTGCGCTCGAGCGAACAATCAACTCTTTCAAGTTTTTATGCAAACGCACTTCTTCGCTCGAGCCACACAAGCTTCGCTTGAGCGCACATTTATCTCTTTCAGGTTTTTGCTAGACGCAGTCGTCGCTCGAGCGAGGACTCCTTCGCTCGAGTGAGCAAGACAAAACCAAAAAGAAATTTACAACTCAACCACACAAGTTTGTTCGCGGGATTAACAAGACTAAGGGACCTAACAATCTCCCCCTTTGTCAATATCCGGACGAAACTTTCTAACATAATTTCCTAAACAAACGAACAAACTAAACAAACCAACTAAAAACCAGAAAAGAGAACTACCAAACCAATCTTGATGGAAAAACAATCTGCACAACATAAATATGGAGAAAATTTGTTATGCAACATAATAAACCATCAAGACATCATATAGCCCATACAAAAATCTAAACCAGTGCTATCTACAAAGAAACATCATGAGTATGCAAAAACATATATCCCAAAAACAAACATATATACCCCCAAAAATCATACTCCCCCTTTTTGTCCGGGAGTAACAAAAAAAATATAAACCAGAAAAACTGTCCAAGAAAAGAACAACAAAAAACTGTTCAAAAAGGAGGAGCCAAA